CCTGCCGCCCGGCCCTGGCTTAGGTCAGAGGGCGCCGCGCGGCCCCTTCCTTCCCGGGCGGGTCCGGACACGCGCCGCGCCCCACTCCGGGCGGAGCTCTCTAAGGCGCAGACTTGGTCCCTTAGGCCACCTGCTCAGCCCGGTTTTCTGGAGAGAGCCAGACTGTTGCAGGGCGCGGCTTGCACGTTGCAGACGAAAAGTGCACTGCGGACCCGAGATATTAGGTGGGGGCCGCACCGCGTGTCCGCGGCAGCGCAGGAATCAGAAGCTGTGTGTCCTGCGAGGCCAGGGGCCAGAAGACCCAGTGTTAGCTTTTCCTGCCACTGAGCAAGCACAGGCCCTGCGCTGCTCCGGGCCTGCTTTCTCCCTATAGGGGAAATGCTCTGCCCAGCTCCCTCCTTCAGTTGATGTACAGGTCAAGGCCACTCGTATTTTCTCAGTCATGTTCCCTACTTGAGCCAGAAACCGGGCCCTGATGTGTTGCAGAACCACTGTGGCATTTATGAAGTGCCGTGTAAAAGTATTATCAGAAATGCTTGCTCAGCACCCTGAAGTCGCCTGCCTCCCAAGCTGCCTGATTCCTAGGAGACTCTTCCCTTCATCTTCACTTTAACACGCGGGGGGATCCTGAAGCGGGATGGAAGAAGGGTACCACCTGGACTGGTGGCCCTCCTGAAACCTCCAGGAACACTTGAAAGAAGTCTCCCCCTCCCCCTTTTTTAAAACTGCATTTGGATCAATGGATTAATCAGTTCACAGATTATTGTCATGTTTGGTTGAGAGAGGAAGTCGGGTAACAAAATGTAAGTGCCCTGCTCACCACTTCTTTGTGGCATGTGCCTAGGGAGAAAAAATGCCAACCGGGTGCAGGTGTGGGGCGGGGTGGGGCCCATGTATGTGGCAAGTGTGACTGCGTAGGTAGTCAGGGGCCTTTCACTCTGCAACACAAGCCTGCAGAGTGAAAGACCCCGCTATAATCTCGTTTGGGTTGTGCTTTGACCTTTGCTAGGATGTCCCAGCCTAAAGAAAAGCTGGTCACAAAACGCCGTTACATAGATACAGCCTCAAGAAGGCTCGTCTCTCACTCAGCCACCAGGGCCTGGCTCTCTGTTGACAGTATTGGCCATTTTTCCTGGCCAGGGCTAGTTCCACTTCTAGCAATGAGAATATAGAAGGACTAACCAGAAACGTGGGATGAACGGATGGGTGAATGGGTAAATGGGATGACAGTTTTGTTTCTCTTTTCCAAACACTGAGCTGGCTTTGAGCAGCTTAGCCATCTCTGGGGAGGTATAAAGCATAATTAATTTATTTTCAATGTTTGGTTAGATTGAACTCTTTTGCTAGTGAGATAAGATAAGGAGTTTTGTCATGACAAGGGCAAGGATGGATTGCTTTTTGTCACTTGCAGGGTGGATACCACTTGGAGCCTGTAGGTAGATGGTGGCATGGGATGAGAAACTTGACAAGGGTCATGGAAGAAAGCTAGAGGAGACGGGGCAGTAGTGGCCAATGATCCTTTCCCTCTTAAAGGACCAGAGAGGCAATATGAGCTTCCAGAGAATTCGGGCCTGGACTTAAATAATGAGATTTACTTGTGAGATTGGTTTACTTCTTCTTAACCTGAGTCAAGAGTTGAGCATATTTGTGCAGCCAGAGTTCAGAATGTCTTCGGTATCTCACAGCATACATAGCTCCTCCTCTAGGTCTGCAGAAGGCCAAGAACCAGAACAAGCATGGTGCTGTAGCTACCAGAACAGTCTGTATGGCCTTGTCATTGGAGAGATTAGCCAACTCTGAACTAATGAGCAGGAACACTCTAAGGCAGGTGAGGCAGCTGGCAGAGTCATTAACTGTTACAGGGATCTATGTACCATAAGATCCATCTTTTTAATTCTGAGGTTCATATCGTCTATATTCTTTCTAATTTTTAAGTTTCTTTGTCTGTTATTAACTTTGGTACTTTAGTGTGTTACAAACTCCCACCATGATGGTAGAATTGCCCTGTTCTTCTTGCAGTTTTACTATTTTATATATACTGATATATTATAAAACCCCAAATTTATTTGGCTCTTCACCACCATCACCACACTTCTCACCATTCTGGTGTCTCAGCTTCTCACATAAGTAGCGTTATTATAATTAATTCCTTTGAACTTTAGGTAGCTGCTGGGAAAACCAGATTATCCATGAGCCCAGCCTAGTTATGTTCAGGTTTGTCGCTCCTTGACAATCAGCAATACTCATGAGGGACCCTTCAGTGTGTTGGTGGGGACTTTGGGAGGTAATTAGGCCATGAGGGTGGAGCCCTTATGAATGGTATTTGTGCCCTTATGAGAGAGCCTGCTTCCTCTCTCCCTGCTCTCTACCATGTGGAGAAATAACAAGAAGATAGCCATTGACAAACCAGGAAGACAGCCCTTACCAGACATTGGGTCGCTGGCACCTTCATCCTGGATTTCCAGCCTCCAGAAATGTGAGAAATAAATGTCTGTTGTTTATGCCAACAAGTCCATGGGTATTCTGTTATAGCAGCCTGAACTGACCAAGACAGGCTATTTTAATCCCTTTTATCTTGTCTGCTTGTGACATAATAGTCTTAAATATTTCCTTTACATACACTGAAGACCTAAGTTACACATGAAACATAAATTAGACAACTCAAGAGGAGAGGGAAAGTCTATTGCATTAGCCATGCTTTTGCGTTTTCCATTGTTCTTTCCTTCCTCGTGTTTCAGGTTCCCTTCTTTTATTATTTCCTTTCTCTTTTGAGAACATTTTTTAGCCATTATTTTAGGGAAGGCCTGGTGGTGAAAAATTCTCTTAATTTTTCTTCACCTGAGAACGTGTTTTATTTTTCCTTCATCCCTGAAAGATAATTTGACCAGGTACAGAATTCTGGGTTGACAGTTCTTTCTTTTCAGCGCTTGAAAAATGTTGTGCTACTTCCTCTGGCTTCCATGGTCTCTGATGAGAAGTCTGCTGTTATTTGAATTGCTATGTGTAAGGTGTCATTTCTCTTGTTGCTTTCAAGATATTTTCTTTGTCTTTAATTCTTTAATTTTCAGAAGGTTGATTATAATGATTCTTGCTATGGATTTCTTTAGTTTTATCCTTTTGGGGATTTGCTCAGATTTTTAAATCTATACGTTTGTGTCTTTTTCCATGATTGAAAATGTTTCAGCCATTATTTCTTTTTCATATCTGGAAAAAGTTTACACATGATTTCTCCTAAAATGTTTTTTAACTTCACTATCTTCTCTATTTCTTTGAATCCCATGATTCAAAGTATTACAGCCGTTGTTATAGCCCCACAGGTTTTTGAGGTTCTATTATTTCTTTTTTTTCAGTCTATTTTCTCTCTGTTGTTTAGTTTGGGTAATTTCTATTGTTTCTGTCTTCCAGTCCACCGATTCTTTCCTCCATTCCTTCCATTCTGCTTTTGAGGTTTTTAAAAATTTCAATGATTGTATTTTTTAAATTCTAAAATTTTCATATGGCTTTTCTTCCTATATCCCATTTCTTTGCTGAGATTTTCTACTTTCTGTTGTTTCAAGGGTTTCTAATTGCTCACCGAAATATTTTTATGATGACTGCTTTGAAATTCTTGTCGATAATTCCAACATCTGTGTCATCTTGATGTTGATGTCTGCTGATTATCTTTCCCCTTTCAAGTTGAGATTTTCCCAGTTCTTGGTCTGACATATGATTTCCGGTTGTATCCCTGACAATTTGGTATTATGTTATGAGACTCTGGATCTTATTTAAGTCTGTTTTGGCAAGTCTCTGACTTGCTGTGCTGGTTAGGAAAGAAGGAGGGTGCTGCTTTGCTTCTACCATGTAGGGTGAACATCCAGGATCCCAACTTGGTCTCCCTTGACATCCTTGGAGGAAAGGGGTACAGCTTACTACTCAATGGAGGTGAGATTTTAGATTCCCCCACACACCCACCCACCCAAACCTCCACTGACACCTCCAAGGCTGGGAGGGGGAGAGGTGGTTTTTTTTTTCTTTGTGTGGCTTCTATTGACAGGTGGGTGGTAGGCCTTGTTACCCCTGGGTGATGGTATATATTTGATTCCCCACTTAGTCTCCTCCGAAGGGCAGGGAGGAGCACCTTTATAAAGCCAGACAAAGACAAAAGTCCAGGCTCCCCATTCAGTCTTTTCTGATGGCTTTTTGACCCTCTATTTTGTTGTGTAAGTGAACCAGTATTGGTCTTCCAGAAGTGTACACCAAGTGACAGATTTCTCCATAAATTCCTGCTTCCTGGGGTCACTTCTCATTTTGTTGTTCTAAGGTGGTCCTGGGTCACCACTCTAATGCACTGTGGTATCCTGAGTTTCGTAAGGCAAAATTATCACTTTATGTTTTGACATAAAATGCATTGGAGTATTTTTTATTATAAAGTTATAAAACTTGTGTTTACTCTCAAAAGTTGGCATGTAGGGTCTCTGTGGACAAAAAAGAGCCGTTGATGTTTTATTTTTAGATTAGCTGCAACCTCTTAGTTTTGACTGAGTAACATTGAATCTTATTATTTTGTTTATGAAAAGAAAAAAAATCTAATGTATCTGGTGGTTGGGAGCATGGTTTTCTTTTTCATTCTACTCCCTTGTCTGGTTTTCAGATCATAATTTTAATATTAATTTGTCCATAGAATTTTAAGCCTCATTAAATTTTTGGCAATGGAATTTCAGGAATCTATCCAAAATTTCCTAAAGTATTAGGTTAGTTTCCTTCACTGTCAAAGTATTTCCTCAAAGAATTTCCTAAATGGATAGGATTTTTTTTTCTCTTCTAAAATTATGCCTTATAGATTTCTTAGCATTATCTCAGTCAGGAAGAGATATAATTATTGAAACAAAAGCTTCTCTTCAGTTAATATTATTTATTGATTACCACCTGACTTATGCCAGAGTATAGGCTAAGTGTGGACATCATACAAATTGAGGAAAACAGATATATGCTTTTTCTAAATATATGTTGTTACAACATAACATTTACATCACTAAGAGTGGGCAGACTTAAGTAGTTCACCCGGATTAAAGGAACTAGGAAGCAGGAGACTTCTGTCTCCGCGCAAGTTTTATCGCTAAACTTTGCGGGGTCACCTTAGTCAAGTCCCATAGCACGTCAGGACCTCAATTTCCTTACCTGCTGATTAGACTAAAAATACTTATCTCTTCTAACTGCTACATTTTTTTTTTTTTTAATTAAAAATTTAACTTGTGCCATAAATATAGATAATATTGCTAAAGACTATCCACCTCTTTTTATTTAGTCTTTCAAAAGTATCTGCAGAGGCTCCCAGGTTTTCAGCTCTTCTTGGTCTCAAAAATGTCTTAGGATAAAGCAAATCAAAGACTGCTTGGGATAGCTATAAAAGAATGTCAGCCTTCCTTTACGGGGTTGGCTATCTCCATTTTTGCTACAAGTAAGAACCAGATTAATGTTTCTCTCCAGGATGCTCTGATTCTGTAGCTGTCAGGCCGCTAGTGATGTCACCGTGAGGATTCAGGCCAAGGCCTTGCATATGGTTTGTAGGACTGTGTAGCAGACATACATGGATGGAAATAGCTGGAGTTAGAAAAATCAGCCTCACGTTTAGGAAATATGCTGCAGCGTGTGGATACTCTGACTTGTCCCAGAAGCACAATGAAAGTAAACCAACTGCTCACAAAGTGACAACAATTACAAAACACACATTTGGAGATAATGAACACAAAGGTTTGCATCGTAAATATTTATTCCTAGAGAACAAGACAAACTCATGTCAGATTTCAGAGGAAGAGGCTTGGTG